AGTAGATAAACAAAGACCTGAAATACGGCTAAACATTGATGGAGTACACATTGAAACAGTATCTGAATATACATTTTTAGGGGTGACAATAGACGACAAGCTGTCATGGAAACCACACATAAGACAAACACAGTCAAAAGTAGCAAAAAGTGTTGCAGTTATTAACAAAGTAAAACATGTTCTGGATTTTGATGCTCTCCGCTTACTGTACCACTCACTAATACTACCTTTCTTAACGTATTGTATAGAAATATGGGGCAATAACTATAAAAGTTCTTTGTATTCCCTCTTTATATTACAGAAGCGTGCGGTAAGAACTATACACAAAGTCGGATATTTTGACCACACAAACTTTCTATTTTTAAAATCTGGAATTCTGAAACTCCCTGATTTGGTGACACTACATACAGCTCTTCTGTTATATAAAGCAAATAATAATATGTTACCAGGCAATATACAGAAACTTTTTTGTGAGAATGAAGGAAAGTGTAATCTAAGGAGAGGTGGTAAATTCAAAGTCCCGCTGGTGGGATCTACGAGGAAAAGTTGGTGCGTGTCAGTGTGCGGAGTCAAACTCTGGAACAGCCTGGAAAATCATGTAAAAGAATGCAGAACTATGTACATGTTTAAAAAGAAATACAAAGAATGTTTGATATCTAAGTATGAAAATGAGGAGGTGTAAAAGGTGTATAGTGAGAGGATCCAAAAGAAAAAGTAACTTATTTGATCATTCATTAGGAAATCTAACACTATATATGAAGGTGCTATCTTCATTTGTGTGTATTTGGGTGTATTTGTAGTATGTGTATTTGTAATATGTATTTATAGAACATATGTGTATGCATGCCTCATGTACTGTGTATATGCACTGTGTATATATAGGTATGTATGTAATGTTTAGGTATGTCTGCGAGCATATGGTATATGTGAGTATATATATCTATATAGGAATATGTATATTGTATCTTAAATGTCTTTTTTCTGAAAATAACTATGAAATGGTGTTGTGAAGGTTCACTGAAGGAGCTGGTGGCATAGTGGTGTGCGATGACGGCATGGTGACGGAGGTGTGGTGGCTCTTGCTGGTCCAGGATGCGGAGGGGCACTGGCGTGGTGACGGCCTGGTGATGTGGTAGGGCTTACATGCAGGTGTCACTGTCTTCTCCCACTACACACTGCCACGAATGGATATGATTTGTATATGTTAGTAGTTTGAATATAAACACTAATGCTATCAATTTGACCAAGTGAAAATACTCCATTGTCTGGTAAAAGGGAAAAATGAAATAATAGTAATAATGATTATAATAATTAAAATAATTATAATAATAATAATAATAATAATAATAATAATAATAATAATAATAATAACAAAAAGAGGAATATAAATAAATAAATAAACAAATGAAGTCGGCTGAACGTGGCCTGAGACCGGTGGGATAGGGTGTGTGCAGTTCTGGCTCGATGCCTTAGTGCGTTGCTGGTTGTTGCTGTTCTGGTGCCTGCTGTGACGGGATTGGCTGGGGTCACTGTGCTGCTTGTTGCCGTGTTGTTATGCATGACTTTGCTACTGGCTCCGGACACACAGGGGTAAGTGTGATGTGCACAGGGGTGGGAACTTATAAGATTTTTTTCTTCCTCCCACTCCTTTTCGAGTTTGAATGATGTCAATATTGTATCTGTAAATGGTTGATTTGATGTACATGAACTCGAAATAAATAAACACTCAACTCAACTCAACTCAATCTAGCATCAAGGGTAAATAATGCTTTCCACCTGCTCCTATGCTCGCACAAGAGAGAGGTGCACCGTTTTTTTGGGTTCAGATTTGAAAATTACTGACTGCAAACACAGCCATGCAAATGTAAAGAATGCCATTTCCCTTGAGACATTGCCAAAACGGATTTAATCATTTCGTTTTAAAAGGCACAAGGCTGCTCTGAGTGTCATGTCCAACTTGTACAATTACATCACAAGGGTTTGAGACAAGAGCTTTTAAACAGAAGGGTGCTACAAGCTACACGTTTTGCTAGAAGTTCCTGATATTTGCGTAGACGGAGCTAAAAACAACTGGATATATGTTTTTCATGTAGGAATCATTTGTAGTTAAAAACCTATTTTGTATTTGTAGCTAAAAAACTATGTGTCATTTTCCTCCTTTTTCTTTTAAAGCACCTTTCATCTTGAATCTAAAAACAGTTTAATGTGCTTTTGTAGTAGCAGGATGTCTGTAGTGGTGCTGTGAGTGTATAGCGCCACCTGCTGACCACCTGTGTTAATGCAACAGTCCAGGACCTTGGTTAATCTCAGGGTAGAGTCAGTTCTGTGTCCCATTGAGAGGATTTTACAATAACTGGAGATGTTTTCGACTCCAGGGTTCTTCATGTGACTTTCTGGTCCCGCTGGAGTCATCACTTTGTTATACATAAAAGTGCATTGTGAAATTTTTTGATCTCTCTGAAGTCATCATTCTGATAACAATGCGGTAGCTGGTGATTTTCCATTTGGATATTTTGGTGATCTGAAGGGCTGAAGCTACTGGTCCTGTGGCAGCTGCTGATTGGACAGAATAATAAGAGTGCTCCATGATATAATTTCACATGCACATAGCAATTCTTTGGTCGTGTTGTCATAAAATCAATAAAATGTGACCACTGACCCCAGACCCCTGTGTCAATTTACTGTAACTTTCCTGATTGTGTCAGCTACTCACTTGTTGAAGATGTTCATATTTTGCCTGTATGTGGCTCTGTATGTTATGATTTGACTCTACTAGGCTAATGTATGTATAAAGTATATTGTTTACCATAGGCCTAATGGTTGTTTGAATTGGACTAAGACCTGAATTATTGTATTGCATCGAAATCTCCTCTCCACAGATTGGACTTGTTTTTTAGCAGTGTCACTTGCTCGTCACTTACACAGATGGAATATGTAATGGGTATTGATTCCAGTTAAAACAACAACATTCAGATACAGACACTCCACCAGGCACGTCACGTTGTGCCCCTTTACATTTTTGTTTTGTTTTTGTTTACATTTCTGTTTTCTATACATTTCTTTCTACTTTATAGCTCTATAAAATATGTCAAAACCCAGTTCCACAAACCTGAAATGGAAACAAGCAGGTACTGAAATACGGCGTCTAATCTGCTTAATTATTTGAACTGACTCGATTTTTCTCTACAATTGACATCAAATAGCCCTACAAATCATTACCTGCTTATTTGATTTAACTTCCATTATTCATACATAAACAAAGATTAACATTGATCATTTGAATACAGAAAACCAGACAATTTGACAAACAATGTGGCCAAATGGTGATAGTAATTGTGTCCAGCAGGAGGCAGTGTTGCTCCTCTGAGGAACGGCCACAAACGTGACTCAACAGAGCTCGGGCACGTTCTTTGCACGCGTCATCTTTTTGTTTTTCATTCACAAAAATAAACATCATCAACAACAGCAGCTCTGTCTGTGTGACGTGTCTCTGCGTAAAATGAAGTACATAAATGGTCTATTATCCTTGTATACGCAGTTTAAAAGGTGTCCAGCCCCAACTACCTTACTATGATCAGAGAGAGGAAAGATATGATCACATTTGTAGAATTATTTTAAGAAAGGTCAAGCCACGAGTGAATGATGGACAAACCAAACACAGAAGAAGAAAAAGGTCACACGTGCATTATAAGTCCTTTCAAACAAGAGAGCTGCCTTTTTTTAGAGTGAGAAAAAAATTCAATTACTGAAGAGGAATGAGGGAAAACAAACTCTGCTTGAGATATCATTACCATTAGTGGTTTTGGCAATCGTTAACAAAGCTCAATTTAATAGACCATAAAAAAGTGAGAGAACATTTAGGGAACATAGCTCACTCCCCTCCACCTTAAACATAACACTCAGTATGTTGTCCTTGTGGAGTTTGAATGGAAAGCAGCTAAAATGACTATATATAATGCCTACTTTGAATGAAAAGACCGTATATACACATACGTTTCATGACTCGTGACTTACATCATTTCATATGTGGTGAAAGCATGAATTCTTTAAAACATAAAAGTATAGCCACTTTAAAGCTGGGGTACCTAACTTTTTTGCGTTCATGATGTTAGTTCAACAGAAATAGTCTTGTAAAGGTCGTCTTAACTTCTTCCCACTCCTTTTCGAGCTGACTTTTTGTTAATTAAACAAAACACACTGTATATTGTGTTGTTGTTCTTTGTTCTTGTCTGTCATGGCTCAAGATGAAGTATTCATTCATTCATTCGTTCAGTATTGTGAACAAATCAGACCATAACGTGCTGACTCCATCTTATGTTACATCCATATGAATCTCTATTTCAGACTCAGATTCAATTTTTATCTTTTGAGTATATTTACTTACTCTCACTTTGGGCTGATACATGATTGTATACATCTACGTGAAACCATGATAGAATCAAACTATGCATGTTTTGTGCTATATAACGGCATTGTTTTAATCCATTTTATCTTCTTTAATCTAGAACAATCTTCCTGAAAATGTGAGACAAGCCTCTTCTCTGACAATGTAAACAGTCCTGTTTAGCGGTGCGTACAATTGAGTTTTTTTTAATTTATTTTTTTACTTTGTACTATGATTATTTGTTTTGTTCTGCACTATGAGTTGCCTTGTGTATGAATTGTGCTCTACAAATAAACTTGCTTTGCCTTATCTTAGTGCAATCCAATCCATTCCCCAAGCGCGTTTATTTATTATTTATTTTGATCATATATAACTCATAGCAACATACAACACCAGCCAGCCCGCGGTCATCCAACACATGCCCAATTATTTAGACGCTCCATGCGCGCACATTGGAGAGGCGGGGCCAATAATATCAAGGTATTTCCCACGCTAGATCCTGGCATCCTGCTTCGTGCGCCTCAGGGTCAGTCTGTCAGCGCAAGTGCAAGTGAGCAGAGCGCACAAGACCACAAAGGGGACCAGAGCTGGAGGATTGTGGACCTCCCCATTACGCATGCATCTCCGCGTCTCTTCACTGCCGCTCGGTTCGCGTCTGGTGTCGGATGCTGGGTGCACTTGGGACCGCTGTACAAAGACCCCAACGCGCGCAGAGGACCTGACCATGGACGGTGTAGTCAGCCGCTGCAAGATCGTGGTGGTGGGGGATACGCAATGTGGGAAAACTGCGCTCCTGCATGTCTTTGCCAAGGACTGTTATCCAGAGGTGCGTGATTCAACGATACACTTATGTCAATCTCTAGTGTTTTGTTTAGCGTTGTGGAAAAGCCGGGTTTAGAAATGGTATAATAATAGTATAGTATTCACCTGCTTCATACAGACAAGACAGAATTGAAAAGTTGCGTGTAACCTGCAGGGTACATGGGGTAATATATGTATTCGCTTCTGTCTCTAATATATCTTACTGTTTCTATATTTCTTGATGCATGATGTGTAGGTATTAGTTTACTGTTTTGCACGACTTCCCTATATGAATTCAAACTCATTCATTTTCAGTGGTGGGTAATCCTTACTATAGTTTGAAGGTCTAGTTTTTTAAGTGATCTGTCATCATACCTGGATTATAATGAGGATTTGAGTATTTTGAACGGTCATACTGAGCTGGTCTATGTCTTTTGCCTTTAGGCTGTGAAAAGTCTATTGATTTATAGCGACTAATCGATTATTGAAATAGTAATGCTGAGAAGAGGATGTAGGACGTAGACAAGTCTTTAAAGAATTGAATAAAATGTAATTATGTTTGAGTTTTTAATCATACAACTCGATGTGTATCAAGTCATCTCTATGAAGATACCAGTCCAGGGGCATCGCTTTGTTTTGGTCAAATGTATAAATAAGATTTTTGTGTGTGTGTCTTAACCATTGATTCTCTGATCTGTGTTGGTGATTTCAATAGTTTGGAAGTCTCTGAGATGACTTCTGTTGTGATTTAGGGCTACAAGAATAAATGGTATTGTGTTGTAATTGTATTGTATAAATGTATACTAAAATATTCCACTTTCTGGGATCTAAAATTCATAGATGCCAGTCCTATTATCCTCTTTGATCAAACTTTCCCAGTCTTAAAGCGCAAATGACACTGTACCAAAACTGACAACAACATTGATATCACATTCAGAGGCTACAACCAAAAGCTCACATCTCCGCTCAAACCAGGCGCTCTCCGAACAGACGTGTACACATGCCTCACATCCCAATCCTTTACTTTCTTTCAGACCTACGTGCCCACTGTGTTTGAAAACTACACTGCCAGTTTTGAGATTGACAAGCACCGCATCGAGCTGAATATGTGGGACACGTCAGGTGAGATTTCAAACCGCGCTCTTCTCTCCGTCACTCTCATGTCTTAAAAATTTTCAGAAATCAAAGTCCACCTCTGCTGTCTGGCTCTCCTCTGCCACGGTGGGAGGGCTGCTGCCTTATCCTCCCATACTCGGCCAAAGTTTATTCCCTGCTTGACAAATGGCCATGACCCCATTGATGGATAGATGTTTGTTTTTCTATATTTTAAGACCGGCTTCTGCTATGTCTGCTGTGTTGTTTTTTTCCGTGGGACGCCGGTGCCAGCTTACATGTCTGTTTGCATTCCTCTGGCCCTTGCTCACGACTGTCCCATGCGTGGATGGCTCTTCCCATGCTCTGGTCCGGGGTCCGGTGACTGTGTGGGATGAGATTAGGAAAAGGGTGGGAGAGGAAGCTTGGATAATTTGGAATGGATGAGGCTAAAAATGCGTTCAAGGGGCTGTTGCATTATTACTACTGGTGTTTATGGTTTATTAGTTGATAGTTTAATCAATTCATCTTTGGGTGAGTTGTATTGTATGGGGTTTTTCTGAATTTGTTGGTATACTTTTGCTGCTGTAATTGTTATACGATAAGATTTGAGTTGGAGAGAGTCACTTTTATGAATAATTATTGGTGAATTCTTGTATTCATTTCTTGTAATACTTTTTTGGCATATATGTCTCCTTGAAAACATGCATTCTGAACCCTGGATACCAACTTTTTCAGCACTTTTACAGTCCCACATATCGATGCCTTTTCAGTTTTTTTCAATAAGAAAGCAGTCAATGGGACATATGCAGATATAGTTTTAAAAGTGTGACGACCCGGCTCAACTTAAGTGTAAGGCAGCAACAAAATAACCAAGATGTTAAAATGGCAACTAAAATCAACATGTATTAGAATGACAAAATAGGTAAAACAGGCAACAAAATAGGATTATACACACAGAGTGAATAAATAACCTATTAAACAATTGACAAAGTAAGCAATTGACAAAACCACCCAAAGTGTAATACTTATGTGTCTTCGCAATAACTACACAAGTCACTGAACTAAAGAACCGGCACAAAGCTGTTAGAAACAAATGGAAGTGACTGGAAATGACCTAAAAAGTGATAATTAAAATTACTTTTAAATTACCCTAATAACATTGACATCTTTATGCAGCAACTGTGTTTATCTACCGACCAGGTTGAAGCAGAGACCCAGTATTTGCTTTTTACCAACTCAATATAATTCTGTTTTGAAAGTTTGTGTGAGGTTTGTCTGTCAAAAGTCTCACATTTCAGGGTTTAACTCCTAGTGCTCTAAATGCCCATAGGCGTAAAGGTGAGAGTGATCAGTCTTTAAAGGTGTCAGCTCTGCAATTAAGTGCTTATTATTCGGGTGTCGCCCAAACTGAATTGATAAGCTGTGGGGGAAATGAGCGTTTGAGTCTCGTCATTATGGAGACTTATTCAAATTATAAATGCAAGAACAGTGCGCCAAGCCAGACTGGTAATTGCTATGTATTAATTTAGTCTTATCGAGATATAAGCAGTTTTTTGTGTGAGAATGTTCGTTCAGTAGCCTTTTAAAATGTCACTGTGTTGAATTTGTTTTAAATGTGTGTTATTACACACATATTATTATTCTAAACTTGTTAACTCAGATTTGACACTAAAGATGGCGTTATTATATGCAGCAGATTTTTAGCCTCCTATTGCTTGGAGATGCCAGCTGAACATAAAATACCATGTTTTGAATTGTCTAAATGGAAATACAACCATCATCTCATAGATATGTGTTTAAAAAATGTATTTATAGATACTGGGGGAGTTACATGAGGCAACAGTAGTGGGAATGCTCTGGGGAAGCTGGAAATGTGGGAATCTTGTTACGTTAAAGGAGCTATACCCATTTCTGCAAGGTTTGAATGTTTAGCACCGCCCCCAACTCTGCTAACAAAATATATAACTGAAAGATTTCCGCTAGTTCCGCGTCCAGATGTGGTCCGAGCATAGATAGTCCGAGGTGGTCCCGCAGGTCTCTCTCATAGACAAGTCTCTCCAGAGGATACGATGTAAGCTAGCTATGTTCACCTGGGCTTGATTTCTTCTTTGATAATTTTTTCCATTTAGTTCCCTCTTCTCTTCCTCACTGTTGTGTCGTTTGGACTGTTTTGCTGTGAATGCAGTTACAGCACGAGGAGTTATAGCCAATTCTGCTAACATGCTACTGTGTTTAGCAGCGCTGTAGAGGCTAGAGGACGCAGCCTCGTTCTGTGATTGGAGGAGAGCGGGCGTCACGCTAAGTCTCTACTCAGCAATTTTTACAGCCTGAATTATTACACAGCTGAATAAAAAAAAATCGGGTATAGCATCTTTAACAAATATTTGACTGTGTCCATGTTCACCTTTTTATACATGCACTCTAAAAAAATGGTTGATTGTTGAGTTCAAACTGTTGGCTACCTTTAGACAGACATAAAAGGGATATTATGATTGATGATTTATTATGACATTTCAGACAGTAAGAAATAGTTTTTGCATTTGAATTGGTGGCATTACATTATGGAATAGTTTGAGTATTGAGCTGAAACTATCTAAAAATATATATAAGCAATGTTTGAGTGAATACAGTAAGACACTTTTAAACTAAGTGTTGAAAACTACCAAAATGTTTATTCAATACGTTTTAAACTTCCTGCTTTTGAACATCCTGCTTCTTAATGTATTCCTTGTCTATATTTGTATCACTTGCAATTGACTGACACTGTGGATTAAATGTCTTCTAAAAAGATTCTCAAATAAATTCATAAATGATCTTCACACTTCCAGGAGTTTGATGGCTGTATACACTTTCCTGTATAAATTCTTTTGCAAACACTCGAGAAAGTGCAGTAATTTAAGAGCAGAGAGCTTTTTCGAGAGTTTTTGCCACGTCCACTTTAAATGACTAATATCAATCTGCTCCTTCTTTATTCAGACATATATTTCTTTGCCGTTGTTTTGATTCTTACCTTGCTGATGCAGGAGGGTATAGGACTGTGATGATCTGGGACATTTAAGGACTTTTGGATTCAAGATTCAAGAATTTATTTGCCATTTGCAGTAAAACCACATTGGAAAGATTGTGCAAGACTACCCCAGTGTGCACCGTTTAAGGAAATTCAAGGATATTTATTAACATTCTTGGACATTGGACGTATACCCCATGTGGACCAATGTCTCCTATGTATTTGTCGTTGTTGTATTCCTGTCTTTGATTCTCTAATCTGTTGTTGGCGAATCGACAAGTTGGTAAATTCCTCCTAGAATACTGCAGTTGTGATTTGGGGCTATACAAAATTGCGGAATTTGCTAACACAGATCAGAGAATCAAAGAGTTCAAATACATGAAATGCGAGGATTTAAAAAAAAAAAACACTTTGGTCCATAAGGGGCAGACAACCAATGTCCAATGTCTAAAAAAAAAAAAAAAAAAACCCAGAGGAAAACAGTGAGAAACCTTGGGGAGGCTTGAACCTGTCACACATGTTGAACCTGATAGAAAATAAATCCTTCATAACAACATAACATTATATTTTATGAAAACAACTTGGCAGGATTTTTGATGTTGAATATTTCATTTTGGAGATGGATTCTGTACAATGCGGCACACAGGCAGAGATTGGATTCCGGGTCACGGCTGCAGAATAAGCGCGTCAGGAGGACCGGCTGTATTTGTTTGGACAATAGGTTTTTCTCGCTCTGGCCTGACTGCACATTCTTGTCCTTTTACCTGAATGCGTTTGGCTGCGGGTGAAGTCTCCATCAGAATGGATCGAGCTGAACCTGTGATGGCGTCATGTCAGGACCAGAGGCGATCGCTCTCCTGCTTTATGGCTGTGGACGTGGGGAATAATGGAACAAAAGCTGAGGCAGATGTAAAGGATGTAATGTGACTTTCTACCTGTTGGATTTCTTGCATACTGAAACAACCCCATTTACATATTTATAGGAATTTGGCTTGGAACTGATTATTCAAATCGAGTTTTGAAAAAAGAATCAGAGCGAGTAAGAAATTCACTTTTCAGGGGGCACAAATAAACATCAAAATAACCCCAAGGTTTGTGGGTTTTTACCATAGATTGTATATAGATGGATACTGCTAACACGCTAGCTAAATCGAGCCCAAAAGAGAATTGCTCATGAACAAGAGTAAACTCCTTGAGCTCAGTAACCGTTTGTGTCACAAAATCTGTGGTTTAGCGGTCTCTGTGATCCTGGTGTTTTTATTTGGATATTGTTTTTGTAAATCAAGATATGAGCTATGGGTATTGACCAATCAGATGCCTTAATTTGTGAGGGAAACTCCACCTTGCCTTAGCGACCATGTTAACAACACTTTAGTTTGTATCTGCCGCTGTTATGGCTGTGACGCGATCTCCATCTAAACAAACGTCCATATAAGGAATTTGGCTCCCGCTAGCTCATGTTCTGATCGGCTTCTTCCATATATGGCAAACACTATAGATGACATCAGCACTTGGTCAGTCCACTCCTAATGTTAATGCTCATAAGGCTAATACTAAATATAATAAAATATAAATCTCTAACTCTAGCATGAAGAACAAACAAGTATAATATCTCTATCTTTAGCATTATGAGTACAAAAACTCTGACTTTTTCATAAAAAGAAGTATCAAATCTCTACCTCTGGCATAATAAGGAGCAAGAGGAGGCTGTCTTTCAGTACTAGTCAGGTTCATGGAGATGCAAACCTGCTTATGTAAGAAGGAAACCACTGTATATGCTATTTAATTTAGAATCTTCGACATAAATAATAAGCATCAGCAGTAGGTGAAGAGGAGTGTGTTGTCCGTGTGGAGCTGAGTCCGTCCTCTCTGGGTCGGGGTCCTGCTGCCTCGGGGCCTGAGTCCTTATCTCAGTGAAAGCAGAGAGAATGTGTCTCCTGTTTGTACTTCAGCCTACAGCAGCAGCAGCAGCAGCAGCAGCAGCAGCAGCAGCATGGCCACTGCTTTACAACCAGAGGAA